TACACAAATGAAATGATAAATCCAGTTTACATAGTTTCCCTATAGACATTGAACTGTTTCTTTCTTATTATGTCTGAATAAAACTCATTATCTATTTTGTTTCAGAAATAATTACGAGATTCTCTCCTAAGCAATTCTTTACTGTCTCCATTATTCTCCATCTTATAGCATACTCTGGAAAGGCAAGCATATAAATATGATAAAAGAATTAAGCTGTTGAAATAAATTAATTTATTGTGCAACAATGTATTCAAATCTTACTTGCTCAGTGGATTTTACTTTAATGAAATTCTTCAAAGAACAATACATCATGTTCCAAAGATTGAAATTATACATTAAGTGAAGTGACTGAATATGTTGTGTCTCAATTTATAGAAAGTTTCAATTGAATACTTAGCTTTTAAATAATAAAAATTTGCATAAATTAAAATATTTTCTTTAAACAAAAGTATTAAGTATTGTCTTTGTATCCTTTGTTCTTAGACAATTATAATCAAAGTAAAAATAAGCTAAAGCTAAATTAAATACAATTTTACCAACATTTTCTAAGCCTTGAATTATGTTTTTAAGATGTATTTTGCATTAGATTTAAACCCAGTTTATTTTTTACCTGGTTTATTATATAATGTTTTAGAGTATTTTGAATGTATAAATGAATAAGTGAATAATGCATGAATGAAAAGAATCATCAAGGAAAGCTTTGACAGTTAAATATATTGACTAATGAAATAATTTTTATACTTATGTGGAAAATAAAACGACTAATTGTTTTTAATGGCATAATCATTGTTGCTAGAATTTTAGGCATTAAATATTTAAGTATTTTATGAGTTTAATATCTTAGGAAAAAATCAGTATCTCATGCTTTCCATTAGCACCAGTAAGAAATCTATTATGGCAGGAAACTCAAGACTTGCAAAATGACTTCAGAGGGATTGATTTATTTCAAGATTGCACTTTATCTCTGTGCGTCCAAACAGGTGCATATATGATCACCTACATAACTATTATGACAACTGTTAAAATGTAATGATGAATAAACATTGACATCGGTGACTTTTTCAAGAAAATAGAATGGTTAAGTTAGAAAACTGTATTTTTGTCAATTAAAAATACAGAATGTTCTTTTTCAAAAACATACCATGTACTTCTGTGTAATCCAAGTGTTGAGAACCAGACGTATTAGGAATTACCTTTCCAGTTTAGACAAACTCATGTGCCTCTTTATTAGAATTTTTAGAAATCAAGGTTAGACTCCTTGTAGTATATCTCTGGTCATTTATGCAGTTAACATTAGCATAACTTATTAATACATTTACACAGACTATAAAAGAATTCTATACAGTATTATACGCAAAGGATTAAGAACACTTCTTCCAAGACCTATCTGAGTAGCTACTTGAAAGACACATTAAGCACAGTGTTGTTTCAAGCAGTTAAGTACAGGACCTAATTGCCATTTTGGGGGGTGAGAGGATTAACAAATTGTGGGATATATTTGTGCAGTTGAATATATTCAGCAGTAGAAAAGAATGAACTAATGACACGTGTAATAACATGGATGAATCTCAAAAAAAGTTTTGTTGTGAAGAAGAAGCCAGATACAAAGTATGTACTCTATGGTTTCATTTTTATGAAATTCTAGAACCAGCAAGTCTATTTTGTGGTGATAGAATTCAGAAAGTGGTTGCTTCTAGGAATCGGGAGGAACTGACTGTAAAGGGACAAGAGAAGTCTTTCTGGGGTTATGGGAATGTTCTAGATCTTGACAGAACTCATCAAACTGAATACATAATAAATGCATAGTTTGCTTCATAGTTTAGGGTAGGTGTGAATGTTAAGAAAAAGGATTTATAATATCAGCTGTTTTTAAAATTATAATTAAAAGATCGGAAGTAACTTTCAGCATCCAGATGTGAAGTCTCTATTCTTTTAAATCATGTATGTGTTTGTTTCTTAGAAACTTAGGTCATTTCGTTTGCCGTGTGGACTAAAGAATTCATATCATTTAGAAGTATACCTTCTTTGGGGCACCTGGGTGGCTCAGTTGGTCAAGCGGCTGCCTTCAGTTCAGTTCATGATCTCAGGGTTCTGGGACCCCATGACGGGCTCCCAGCTCAGTGGGGAGTCTGCTTCTCCCTCTGTCCCATCCCCTCCTCGTTCTCTCTCTCTCTCTCTTTCTCTTTCTCTCAAATAAATAAATAAAATCCTTTTTAAAAAGTATACCTCCTTTGATTTATTTAGTTTGGAAAAATAACTGGTAACTTGTTTTTGTGTGTGTGTTGAGACATTAATTTCAAAATATTTTATCTCCAAATTGTGCAGTTGGATACCATCTTTCTTTAGTATCCTTCAGTATAACAAATGTATGATGTGTCATAAACTTCTCTGAACAAGCTAACTGTAAACTTTAGCACTGGGGAGGGGGTGTCTCCCTCTTTCCCTCTTTTCTGCCCCATCTCTCTCTCTTCCTCATTTACTTATTTTCGGTCTTTCAAATGTAACCCCACATGACCTGGGTAAGAAAACATATTGTGTGATGCATACATTTACCTACATACCAGTCAGTTTGCTGTTTGCCGAAAATAGAGCACTTTATTCTTAACCTCCGATCAGTTAAGGTAAAGGGCGAGTGTTATATGGTATAATATTGATACTACATCTCTCCTTTGGGAGGTTTTAATTGTCCTTTACAGAAACCAATCCACACATTTTAGACCAGTCCAAAATCTCCTAAAATACAAAAAGTTATCTTTACAACAAGATTCTAATATACATTGCAACTGTTGAAAGAATTTAGTTGTTGTTGTTGTTGTTGTTTTCTTTTTCCTTTGTTTTGGTTCTTGTAAATCTTTTGTCATGAAGTTTCTTATGGCCTGTTTTTATTTCATGGAGTATATAATGGGAAACTGGTTCATGCATGGATTTGGGAAGAGGGCTTTGTCATTTTTCTGGTTATTTTCATTTTATTTGTCATGCTTTTTCTTTTTTTTTTTTTTTTAAGATTTTATTTATTTATTTGAGACAGAGAGCACATGAGAGGGGGGAGGGTCAGAGGGAGAAGCAAGCTCCTTGCTGAGCAGGGAGCCCGATGCCGGAATCGATCCTGGGACTCCAGGACCATGACCTGAGCCGAAGGCAGTCGCTCAACCAACTGAGCCACCCAGGCGCCCTGTCATGCTTTTCAAAAATTAAGCCTCCACATATCTATGGAAGATGTTTATCAACAATGTTCAGGATTAAAAAATTAAACAGGTATGAGACAAGTGGTGCTCAATTTTGGATGCACATTAAAATCACCTGGAGTCTTAAAAATAAAGTGATGTCTGGGCTCCACTTCTGATCAGTGCATGGGGCTGATGTAACAAAGGACCATGCACTGGGTGACTTAAAACTACCCAAACGTAGTCTCTCACATTTGTAGAGACTACAAGTCTGAAATCAAGATGTCAGCATTGTCATGCTCCCTCCGAGCTCCTAGGTAGAATCCTTCCTTGCCTCTCCATCGCTTCTGGTGATGCCTGGCAATCCTTGGCATTCTTGTCTGGCAGCTGCGTAACTCCAATCTCTACCTCCATACATGACATTTTCTCTCATATCTTCACAATGTCTCCTGTAAGGGCACCAGTCATGTTGGATTAAAAGCCCACTCTACTCCAGCATGACCTCATTTTAATTAATTTCAGCTGCCAAGACCCTTTTTCCAAACATCACAGGTACTGGGGATCAGGACATCACCTTTTTTTGGAGACACGATTCGACCCCTCATACTCAGTAAGCCAGAATCTCTGGGAGGAAAGCCCAGGCACCAGGCATGTTACAAACCTCCCAGGTGATTCTAATGCAGAGCAGGACTGGGAACCACCACCGGACTAATAGAACCTCTGAGACCAAAGATACCTATTACCTACCCTCATTCTCAATGGTCCATTGACCTCCTACAAGTCAATTACATTTTAAACCTTTTTTCTTTTAAATTTCTCAAAGTCTGCTCTTTTAATATTTGCATTTTTGCACCTGAATAAGGAATTATTTTTTTTTATTTATTCCATATCATGTAGTTTACCTTCTAACCTTTCAAATATTTATTAATTATTGAAAAGACAGTTCTTCCAGGCCTACGTGCCTTGCTATCTGAAGGCATAAATATCTTGTTGCTCAAAGAAGAAAATGTTAATAAGTGGAGTATCTTATTTCTTAACCTGTAACGCCATTTATAATAGCTCATTGGAGACAGTTATACGATATATTTGCACATTAGTCTAATGGGGAAGGTTCAGGGCTTAGCCGGGGAGACGTGGCATGGGACCTAAGTGTTAACACAATAGTCTCAGGAAACATGATACCAAGTTTCCCTGGGATACAACTAATATATATTTCATGAATTTCCCCTAATACATATATGTGGTTGAATTGGAGCTGAGAGAAGCGGGTAGTCTGAAAATTACTAGAATCAAACAAAATTATTCCGATGTTAAATAATAATCGGTTTCTATGACGCCTTAAAAATGTGACCATCCAGGTGCGTCCAGAGCAGTGCCATGAGGAAGAAGCTGCTAATAACGTCTCTAGTGTTACTGTTATTATGGCCTGTCACATTGATCATTTGTGTGCTACATGACCCGTAGACGCTTGCTGCAGCAACCGAACCTAGTTAGAGATTTTTTGAAATTGGTAATTGTCTAGAATCGGAACCTGCTTTGTTCTGTTACTTTGTGGCTGTTCTAAGGGGTCCTGAGAGGGTTGTCTTTGTGGGCCTCCCTTTTTGTCCAGAGAGGGGATCCGCATTTGCCATACGGTCACTTGCCTGTAGAGCCCGTTTCCTAACTAGTCTTTCCCCACTTGGGCTTCGCTCGGGGCAAAAGGTCACACTGCCCGTGAAAGACGACCTTCTTGCCTTCGCGTCTCTATGGTACTGCCCGAACGGAAGTCAGCGTTCCGGAAGTAAAGTGCCCGCGTATTGACCTCTCCTCTCCCCAATTCTTCCCGCGGTGCCGCAGGAGCGCGTCCCGGACAGCCCTTCGCCGGCGCCCTCTCTGGAGGAGGGTCGGAGGCCGGGCAGCCACGCCTCATCCCACCGGAGCAGCAGTGTGTCCAGCTCCCCGGCGCGGACCGAGAGCTCTTCCGACCGAATCCGTAGGTCTCACACTTTTCCTCGTCGCCATTTAAACTCTCAGCTGGCTTTCCTGAGCAAAATGCCCTCCTTCCAAATAGAGCCCAGATGTATCATGTTCTGAAGCTCTGGAGCGATAGCCACCCCGCAAAATTGTGTTTCCCAGTTTGCAGGATCATGAGGCGGGGCGCTGCATTAACAGGGTCGGATATAAACTCCCCCTCTTGATGCCAGACATAAAGATCTGAGCTATGAAGAAAAAAAAAAAAAAAAAAAAAGATCTGAGCTATGAAACAGGGAAATGAAGAAAAAAATAAAAATAAAAAGTAAAAAAAAAGTAAAAAAAAAAAGATCTGAGCTATGAAGAAAAAAATAAAAAAAAAAGATCTGAGCTATGAAACAGGGAAAGTAACCTTCTAGATTAGTTTCTTTTTTTTTTTTTTAAGATTTTATTTATTTATTTGAGAGAGAGAGAGAATGAGAGACAGAGAGCACGAGAGGGAGGAGGGTCAGAGGGAGAAGCAGACCCCCCGCCGAGCAGGGAGCCCGATGCGGGACTCGATCCCGGGACTCCAGGATCATGACCTGAGCCGAAGGTGGTCGCTTAATCGACTGAGCCACCCAGGCGCCCCTAGATTAGTTTCTGAAGTAAACACCTCCAACTCACAGTTATCTAGTGGCTAAGTATATGGTTTAGGGGTTACTCAAATTTATTCTGCAGCCCTACGCCCTGCCAGGGTTTGAAATTTATCAATTTTCAAAATTCACCCTTGCATTGACAATCATAGCCACAAAGAGGAATAAAAAAAATGGAATTCAAAATAACTGACTTACACAAACAATGAATCGTGGAACACTGCATCAAAAACCAATGATGTAATGTATGGTGATTAACATAGCGTAATAAAAAAAATTAACTTAAAAAAAATCTTAGTCATTCTTATCAGTGGATTAAAGAATTTTAAATTGCTTGAATTTTAGGATTTGAATTAGTAAGTCAATAATGCATATTATTGTCAGATATTATTAAAATCTAAAAAGTAGGGGCTCTGTTTTATTTCATGATTACATTTTCAGATATTTAACCAAGAAAATGAAGAGTAAAGTTAAAAATGCCATTCAATTAACTGGTTATTTTATATCTGTATTTTGTGTCGAGAATCTAGTATTGTTTTTACAATACAGTGAACATATTAACAATGATTGTGTTGGTTGACAAAATCAGTATCATTGTATCCTTTCCAGGATTTAGTTTATTTTAAGAAATCATGTTTGTGCTACAAACTTCATCTAATTACACGTAACTGGCTGAAGTTATTTGGTTTTTGAGAATATTTTTATAACAGGAAAAACATTTGCTAGAAAGTGTCCTATAAGTCATAAAGGTTCATTTGCGTAAAGTAGAAATCCTTAGTATGAATGTTATTGAGGTAGATAACAAATACTAGGTTAAATTGTATATAATACGACTATTTTAAAAATAGTTAATTATTGACAGTTATATAGTTCAACATAATTCTAAATATGAATACTTGATTTGGCCTGTCTAAAATATATTTCCTTAATTTTGTAAGAGATTTATAACTGTGCATTAATAAAAGTGAATATAACCATTCCCAAACCAATGACATTTTCTGGGGCTTGTAAATCTTGGCTCCCACTACCTCAAGCCATCTTTCATATAAAATATTTTTTTGTATGCTCATATGCCATGCTGACACTAGAATCAGAAATTTCATGATGCATATTGGTTTCATTTCTAATGCTTTTATAAGATGTCATCATTGAAAAGCCACTGTCCTTCTAGAGAAAGATAAATATTTTTTTATGACGCTTAAGTGGAAATTATGGGCAGATAGGGTACAATTTGAAAGAATTTTGTCATATATTCATGTTTTAAATTAATCATTGTATTCTTTTTTATTCTTGCTAGAACAAAGGAGAAATTTTTACATGCTTGGACTACCATGATTGTCCAAGTAGAAATACATACACATGCACACAAATGCATGCATACACACACACATTTATGTAAATACATGTTCACATATATGCATATTTTTAATGTTTTTTTTTAACTAGACCAACACAGACATTTCAAAAATAATACAAAGAATTCTTTCACACTGATCACTCAGATTCACCCAATCATCGATGTGTCTGAAAGAGATATCTTGATAAAGGCATAATGGCACCTTAATGCCCCTATCGTGGACATGGACATCATGCTCCTTTACCTCAAATACATCATTGTTTATCTTCTCGAAACAAGGAATTTCTCTTATGTAACCATAGAACAATGATCAAAATCAGGAAATTAAGATTATTACAGTACTCTTTTCTAAACTATAAATCTCTTTCAAATTTCACCAACTTTCCTACTAACATATTTTTTTTAAATTTTTTTCTTACTAATATTTTTAATAGCAAAAGATTTTTCTTTACTAGTCCAAAAGCCAATCCAGGATCACATATTACAATTACTTGTCATATTCCTTTAGTCTCTTTTAATCTGGAACAGTTCCTTGGTCTTTTTTTTGTCTTTCAGTATCTTGACATTTTTTTTTTCAAAGAATATAGGCCATTTATTTTGTAGAATTTCCTTTAGATTGGATGTTTTGGTTTTCCCATGATTAGACTTGAATTATGAATTTTTGGCAGGAATCACAGAGGCATGATAGTGTGTCCTTCTCAGTGCATCCTTCTAAGAGACATGATATTTCTCAATACTTGTCATAACTATCTCTTGGTTAAGGTGGTGAATATAAGATTTCTCCACTGTAAAGTTACTCTTTTTTTAAACCTTTGTAAATGATAAGTGATAATAATAAGTCTTGTGAGGAGATATATTAAGACTATACAAATATTATATTTTTCATCAAACTTCCATTCCACTCCTTTTAGAATCATCTTTTGAAGATACTTCCCTCACACGATTATTGCTATGGTGATTTCCAAATGATAATTCCTAATATATTCTTATGATATTTTCAAAAAAATCTCTTTTTTCCAGAGAAGATAAGTTTTTATGGAATGAGTACTCACCCAGTTTTTTGCACAAAACCAAACTTTCTTGGGCAATTTATTAAGAAATTTATTGCTTGGATTTTGAAAATCATAAGGGTGTTTTGTCATCTACTTTATTATTTCAATAGTGACACGTTACTGTTAATAATTCAAGAAAGCAATTATTGTTTTTATTCATTCAACCATTCAATAGATACTAATTGGGCACTTGTATTTTCAAGTCTGAGTTCAAATTCAATTTTTAAAGAGGTACTTTGGTATCTGTGAAACCTTGTGTTTTATTGACTAGAATAGAATAAGAATATTAAAACAGTTATATTAGCCCCTTAACTTGTTGAAAGTTAACAACTTTTAGTGGTTGTAGTGGTATGGCCATTCAAAAGTATTCCAGATATATATAAAAATATATATATTATTTGTGAAATAAAAACAAGATAAAATGTTTTCAATTCCAGTATTTTTCTGCTTATCTTTAAGAATTATCATAGTTATCAATTCTCAGTTTTCTTAGAGATAGATTACAATACTGTGAGACCATTCATTACACCATTATATTTTATTTTATTTTTTTAGTCCAAATGAGTTTAATTAATTTGTTTGAACATTGTGTGTTATGGTGTTTTTGTCTTTGTTCTTTTGTTTTGGGCTTGACAGCTGTCCATCAGAATGGGTTATCCATGAACCAGATGCTGATGGGTTTATCACCAAACGTACTCCCTGGGCCCAAAGAGGGAGATTTGGCTGGTCATGATATGGGACATGAATCGAAAAGGATGCATATTGAAAAAGGTAATATATGGTTACATGGCCTTGTTTCTCCTGTTCAACATGTTAACTAGATTTTAATCACAGAATGAGGTATACTTCTACCTCACAAAAGATGGCATATAAACATTGTAAAAACCTACAATATTAGGTAAAACTTAAGCCTTTTCAGCAAAAAAGAAGTGTGAATGAAGATCTGCTGCTTTTCCTTATACAACAGGTAGGTGATAATTTACTTTCCAATTATTAAAAAAGTGGACAATTGTTTGTTTTAATTGTTATCACTGAGTTTCTAAAGACCTACTGTTTGTCTTTCTCAATGCCTTTAGGGCCAAATGTCATTTTTATGTACCTGATAGAGCTACAACAATATATGAAGGATTATTATTAATATTTTTGGATTAAAATCTACATGGTCATCAGACCAATCAGGAAATAGAAGCGAATCTAACCAAATAATGTACCAGTTGTTGTTTCAAAATTACACGTAACAAATAAAGCCCAGCTGGTGGGAAGCTGAAAGTTTCCTATTTGTATTTCATTTGTATCAGCCTAACCCATTTTCACAGGCATATATTGATATTTTCATGCCCTATTTCATAAAGTAGTTTCATGAAGAAATTTAAGTATTATTTTGGTATGCATGTTAAAAATTTGTACTAGTAGATGCAAATTTATGTTTTCAAATAGTAAGGTTGGATTGTGAATATAGGAACCCTTCCAAATCTTTTTCATCTTAATTTAATATTTTTAAATTTTATTAATATAGACTGGGTACTTTGACTATCTTTTTTAACATGAATACCAAATAATCAGTGTTATGAAAAGGATTAATTCTTTGGAAAGCATAATTACACAAAAAGTACAACTAGCTGTCAAAAAGGAAAATAAATAAAATTGGATATTTAATAATTAATGAAGCAGAAAGAAATGACTGGAGGAAGACAAAGTTAAGGTGGGGCAAATTTTTTTCCCCAAAAAACTCAGGATACTTATATAAAACCTTTTCCCATTCAACATAAAAACAGACATGCAGAGCCCTTGGGGAGAAAGAATATTTCTACAAATTAGATTATCTGCATTATGGAATGTCAGTGAGAAAATGATAATCTTTTCTTGGTGTTAATATGTCAAAATCTAAGAATAATTGAGAGCAGCATTAAGGCAACTTTCTAATTTTTTTATTTTGAAACTTGATATCAAATGCTATTACTAAACTATATGCAATGCATCAGTGAGCCAGATGGTATCTAAATACTTAATTCTAGTTTTTTCACAAGCTGTTCTTCAACAATGACTAAAAATATTATATATATTGTCCTTTACATATATTTTGACATATACCTTTTATATTTGATCAAAACCTATTTGTAGGGGCGCCTGGGTGGCTCAGTCGTTACGTGTCTGCCTTTGGCTCAGGTCATGATCCCAGGGTCCTGGTATCGAGCCCCACATTGGGCTCCCTGCTTGGCGGGAAGCCTGTTTCTTCCTCTCCCACTCCCCCTGCTTGTGTTCCCTCTCTCGCTGTGTCTCTCTGTCAAATAAATAAATAAAATCTTTTTTTAAATTTTTTTTTAAAGATTTTATTTATTTGAGACAGAGAGAATGAGAGAGAGAGATCAATTGAGAGGGGGGAGGGTCAGAGGCAGAAGCAGGCTCCCTGCCAAGCAGGGAGCCCGATGCGGGACTCGATTCAGAGACTCCAGGATCATGACCTGAGCCGAAGGCAGTCGCTTAACCAACTGAGCCACCCAGGCGCCCAATAAATAAAATCTTTAAAAACAAACAAACAAACAAGAATTCATTGTATAGGTTAAGCAGCCATTCTCCATCAAGGTTCTGCTAAGAATAAAGCCCTAGAAGAAAATAATGCAAGTGACTCATTTCTCAATTTTCCCATGGATACTACATAGATGGTTTCACTTAGAATGCATAAGGGCGAAGTTAATTTATGACATACAATGATGTCAGGATATTAGGGCTTAATTCTCTTGTAGCACCTAGCGGAGAAGAGCTGGGAGTAAAATGTAAAAGCTCAAAGATCGTGGTGAGAACACCACCAAAGGCATGATCAATAACATAATTGGAATGAGTTCCATTGGAATTTGGGATAGATAGTTTGTACAACCTGATGCTTCAATTTGAGTTTACCTACTATTTTGCTATTAATTTTTTCATGGGTTCTGTCTATCCATTTATCTATTTTTTAATTATTATTACAATTTTGCCACCATGGAGGCTTTCCTGAATTATCATACTAGGTTGTTTGAGGGGACCTACTTCTGTTTTTCCCATATACCTGCTCCAAAAATCTTCACTACAGTATTTGCCTTGTTGTTTGGAAGTTATATCTCCATTGGTCTACTCCCAGTACTGGACTGTGAACTCCTTGGAGTCATCTGTGTACTTCATTTGCTTTAAACAGACTAAGCAATCTGTGAATACATACTGATCTGGGCTGAATCATTAGGAGATTCTAAGAGACAGTGAAAGAAATCTAAAACAAGTAAAAGATTGCATTCTTTAAGGACTAATAGGTAGGCAAAAGGTGGAATTATATAACTTTTAGAAGGTACATTTACATGAAATAGTAGGATGTTCTGACAATGAGTATACACAAAAACTTTCTGTATCACTAGTGGTACTTCTCATCATATCGAAGTTTTTAAAATGATTTTGCTGTCAGAATAAAGACCTTGACTATAGGGGTGCCTGGGTGGCTCAGTCATTAAGCGTCTGCCTCCGGCTCAGGTCATGATCTCAGGGTCCTGGGATCGAGCCCCACATTGGGCTCCCTGCTCGGCGGGAAGCCTGCTTCTCCTTCTCCCACTCCCCCTGCCTGTGTTCCCTCTCTCGCTGTGTCTCTCTCTGTCAAATAAATAAAAAAATCTTTAAAAAAAAGACCTTGACTATATGCCAATGGTTTTGCAATATGTTAATGTATATTTTATAAGGGAAAATAAATTTTTATTTTAATATTCTTCCTAGGAATATAAAACTACCATTGAATGCATGATTTCCAATATAGTTACGTAATCCTAGAAATTGTGATATTGATACTAATTACAGTAAGTGTTTTGTTATATGTTGCTCTTTCTTTTATACACCCTCTCTTTTATCTATTTTTCAGCATACTGAATTAACAGTAAATATTCATGGCTTTCTAGATTGATAGAGTCTACTAAATTAAAAATTGTTTTCTTTCATGACTGCATTTATCATGTGCCTCATACTGGCCCTGCAACTTTCTTACTACACATATCTGTATTAAATCAAGTGACTTAATTTAGAGACATTTGTAGAGAAATTAATTATATGTTTGTGTCATTTTAGGCTCAAACTTCTTATATGTAATTTGCTGCTTACCACTTTAAATCATTCAAATGATAATAATTCTTTAGAAAACATGGATTTTAAAAATAGATACTAAAATTAATTTGTATGCTAAGAATCACTGTGGTCTAAAATCTTAATCATCAATAACTTTTAAGTATTTTTAAATCTTCTTAATGTTAAAAAGCTATTAACTCCACCCCATTAGAATACTTAAGCCACCATTAGCTGAAGGCATTCTAATTCAGAAGTACTAACTGCTGAGGAAATTCACTCTCTGTTTTTAAAAATAAAAACGCTGGTAGGTTTTTGAAACTCAGAAGAGTTTAAGGCACATTCAAAATGTAAATTTGAAAACTGAGTTAGTATATTATGAAGGAATAGACATAATATCATATAAGTCATCCCAAGTTTAAGGAGCAATGCTTTTAATATTAAAAACTTTGACTAAGGGCGCCTGGGTGGCTCAGTCATTAAGCATCTGCCTTCGGCTCAGGTCATAATCCCAGGGTCCCGGGATCAAGCCCTTCTCAGCAGGGAGTCTGCTTCTCCCTCTCTCCCTCCCCCTGCTTGTGTTCCCTCTCTGGCTGTGTCTCTCTGTGTCACTAAATAAAATCTTAAAAAAAAAAAAAAAAAAGAAACTTAAAAACAAAAACAAAAAAACTTTGACTGAAATAAGGGCTTTGTCAAAGGTAGGTGCTAAGGAAAACTGTGGTACAGCTCAAAGCTTCAAAACCAATTTTATGTCTTTAAACTTTTATAAACAGATTCCAAGTTCTTTAGAGCTCTCTGGACTTTAAAACCATTTCTGATCTTTTCCCTCAGTCTGAATTTGGTGAAATAGGCAGTAATAATTGACATTTGAGTTATATAAATAGACTCACTGTTCCTTTATGCGGCACCTTTCTCTTTATTCCCTGCATATTTGTCCACTGCTGCTAATTTACAATATTTCTCATGTATAATTTGTTTCTTGGTGTTTCTTAAATTGCTGCTTTTTTCAACACATTTTTGAGCATGTTTTACACCTTTGTGTTGTTCCATAGGCACATTTTTTGTTATTATGGAATTTATCTAATTTTTAATTTACCAAAAATTAAATATACAATACAGATAAGCTTACAGTATCAGCTTTTTCCAATTATAGAAAACTTAGGTGTGTCTAGTTGAACTAACTATGAAATACCTAATTTATGCTAGTGAATTTCAGTCTTGGACTAAGTATACTGAAATGACATAATCAATGGGTAAATATTTACTGATTGCCAGATATGTGAAATAAACCATATGAAATGCAAAAATGTTTCCTTTTTCTGTCCCTTTCTCTTTTTCTCTCACTCTTTTTGCTGTATTTTTTTTTCTTAATACGTATCCTAATTTTCCCTATAGTTGAGCATTTTCCCTTTGTTTTCATAAAAAATATGAAAACTTTCTTTCATTGGTGACTCCTGCCATTTTAGAAGCAGAAATAATTTACGAAGCAGCAAGAAATACAGGGGATTTGCTTCAGGCCATAAAACATTTCTTTTGTGGCATATTCTGTTTGGTTGGCAGTGCTCATGATTTCCAATGGTTAACATACTTGTATAAAAGGTTTCTTTTTGGTACTCTGAATTTGAGGACAGGGCACTAAAGACAATAAAGTAGTTCATAGCCTGGCCATATTGGGGTTTCCTCTCATTAATGTTTTA